TTTATTTAAAAATATGATTCCAAATTAGGTATTTTCAAAACAAGTTATTCAATATAATTTTAAAAAATTGAGTTGAAATTAAAAAGGCTCCGTTCATCTTCAAGCGAAATTTTTGTTGGAATAACGTATATCTGAAATTTACTTGTTTTAAAAATTGATTCAAAATCACCATGGTAACAGCTATGGTGAATTGTCCAAAAAATAGGTCTAAAATGTAGTCGGGGGAAAAGGGTGCAAAAATGAAACGAAGATGTATTATCGTCAAGATATTTATTTTTTATTTTTAAAGGCATGTCAATTGGGTTGAAGGTAAAAGGGTGTCCATCTTCAACGAAGATGTATTTGGAAAACTATATCAAGTTGGCTTGTCTATGAAATTTATTGGTTTATTTTATTTGATTTTATTATGCCCATTTGTGCATATAAAAAAACGTTTGATTGCGGTAAAGAGATACTTTCAGGTTTTAAGGGGAAAGGTGAGGTTTCAAAACTATAATTTGTATTAAGCTATCGATTATGTTGTATAATGGAAATTTATTTATTTATTTTATTTTATTTTAAACTGTTAAAAACTTGAGTTAACGGTTTTTTGTAGACATCATCAGATTTTCGGTTTGAAAAAAAAAAAAATTATATAACTTGTTTAAAATAACTAATCATCAGATTCATAGTAGAAATTAAGGGTGTTAAACTTGCATACAACATTTCATAATCCATAGCCCAAATTAGTAGTTTAAAATCTGAAAAGATTGGGTGAATTCGTCAAAAAAAAAAGTTATCTTTCTTTTTTTATATTTATTTCATAATAAAAAAAATAAAATCTAAATAAATTCCATAGACGAAAAACTTGACGATAGCTACATCTTCTTTCATTTTTTGACATCACCTTCCCCGATTTGACAGTTTGAAATAATATGGAATTTTTCATTAACACCCTACACTCGCCTACCGATTTTTAGACATCGCCCTAGCTGTTACCATGGTGATTTTTGACAAATTTTTAAAACAAGTAAATTTCAGATATACGTTATTCCAACAAAAAATGTCGCTTGAAGATGGAACGGAGCCCTTTTAATTTCAACTCAATTTAATTTAAAGGATTATATTGAAAGTTTTCGGCTCTTGTTTTGAAACATGAGACCTCTTATGTAGCGATTTGAATCATATTTTTAAATAAATAATATATATATATATATATATATATATATATATATATATATATATATATATATATAAACACCTAGATAAAGATCAACCATTTCTTAAAAATTGGCAATGAATAAATAAGTCACAAATATGATGTAAGATACTGATTAATGACAAAACATTTGCCCGGCTTCATTAAATGTACTTCAAACAAATTAGAAAAAATTATTTAAATTAATTTTGTAGTTTTCGAGATCAAGAGGAGAAACACAAAATCACTTTGTAAGTTGAATTTCTAAAACAAATATCAACACAAACTGAAATATGCGAATTAGTCTGCAATTAAAAGAAATTTGCTTTGTAAGGAAAACTACTTCATGAAGTCAAAATGTTTCACAAATAAAAAATGTTTTGTCTCATATTTGTGATTTGTCTAATCACTTTGAATTAAAAACGCAGAAAATCCGTCCGTAATAAAAAGAAAGGATAAATTTTATAACACAAATGTTTAATTTGAAATATAATTTCTTTCCTTGTGAAGACGCTTAATTCTATGGTAAACTTGTATCTCAGAGAGTTAATCTGTATCGCAGTTTCAAATATGATCAATCGATTCATATTTTGAACAGGATTACTCTTCAAAAATTATTTAAAAAAAATAATACTTTTCAATTCTGACAAATGCCGCCATAAGTTCAAATTAATGTTAATTTACAAAAAAAAAGTTATTCCTTTATATTTTTTACAATTTAAATATACCAATGTCCATATTCCAATATTTTCTATTATCAGTTTTTCATTTGTAGACTCAATGGATGCTTTGGAATAACGATCTCTTTTGAAGAGATCGTTATTCCAAAAGCTGAACTTCTATTAACAATATTAGAACGCTGATTATTTTGATAGATATCAACTGCAAATACAACCCATCATTCGATACTAAATAAAAGTAATATGCAGAGCCATCACAAATAATACTTAGGTTCAAGATTGAAAATATCTTGAGTGATTTACTAAGCGTAAGGTCAAACACACTACTTCTTTTACTTGCTATTCCATTACATCACATAACAAGTGTCCTAATTACTACCTGTTTAGTAATTTACAAAGTGTAACTTAGATGTTGTCGCATGTATGGAGCACCCAGTGATGATCGAACTCACTACTCTGTTGTAATATCATATTGTGAAACAAGCTCGCTAACCATTACACCATGTCGAAGTTCCCAAATTGTAATCTCTTTATCGATATTTTATTTGAGAAAATTCATTTTCGGCCATAATAGTACATGTTTTAATACGTACTGTTATGGCCGAATAAATTTCACGGTTCTCATATTTTAAATTTTCCAATGAAGAAGTCTTAAGTTAATTATTGGATAAGCTCCTTATAATATACCCGTAAAAATCCCCTATTGCATTATTAACTATTTGTGCTGAACAACTTTAACAAAATATTGCAATCGTAAGTCTGAATGCAAGTCATTGTTAAAAGTAGGAAGAAGTTACAAAGTTCAAAACTGACCAGTTTTTCCATTTCACTGAAGTATACGTTAAACGCACGAGAGCGTTATCGATCCTTTCTTTCACAAAAAACAACTAAGGAACTAATTAGTAATATGATTAGTAAACCCTCATTAGTAAACTAGTAATGTCTCCACGCAGAATTTCAGGTCTCAAGCTAAAAACGCGTAAAAATCTCACCTTTATTAACAAAATAAGAGATTTCTGCTAGCAGCGAAAATAATTTAATGGCGATCCGAATGACTTCTAGAATATTTGTCTCTGAGTATAATGAAGCAATGGAAATTTACAATCAATGAATTTGATTTTAATACTACTTTTAATGCGTAAACCTGACTGTTTGAAAATTTAGAATGTCTATTGATGTGTATATATTTAAAACATTTACTTAATTTTTCGTTTGACACACTATTTCGCTTCTGTTAATAATAGCAACATTTTTTCTTCAGAAATCGCCATATATATATATATATATATGTGTGTGTGTGTGTGTGTGTGTGTGTACACACGCAGAGGGGCCAGATTTATTAATTGCAGTGAATTTGTAGATCATGACACTTTCAGTACATCTTCGTCCGAGTGAATTATCTTCAGTTTTTAATAAAACTGCACTTGAATGTTGAATGATGATTATGATTTCGGTTATATACCAGTGCATTGGGAGTGTTCTTTAATCTCAAGTCCCTTTTCCACCGATGTATTTACGGGGTTATTGCTTCAGTCTATCATCCGTTTTTACCTTAACTGGTGTTGAAACAATGTGGGATATATAAACTCTTAAACCAATGAATGTATAAATAAAAACTAACTAGAAATTAGTCAAATCTAATAAAAAAGAAAACAGTTAAAGCAAAAACAACGAAGACGTCTTGAATAACGGAGATTTCACGGTCCGTCACACCAATTCGGTTTGGGGCGGGAAAAATCAGTTTTTTCTGATGGCTTTGCGTATATGTGACCTCTGGAAACCACTATAGTGGCGTCCGACATCTAACAATGCAAAAAGCTACGTGTTTACAACGACGCCGTCCTCTCTCTGCTCCTATACGACGCCGAGATATGACTTCTCAGCAAGAACCCTCGACACCCGTGCTCACGGCTTCGAGTCCTGCGCCCTATCGTAGGCAGTATACTGGCCCGATCTTGTATCCAATGGGGAACTCCACTAAAGGACCGGCCATCTGAGCATTCTCCGCGCCGATTTTGCTTGTGGCGAACTGAGGTCCACCCTTACCAGTGCCCTCTACCAGTTCGACGATTTGCAAACTGGAGATGACCTCCCTACAGAACACACAGCTGCTGGAAGAACTTCGCCCACCGGGATCTCCGGCAGATTAATCTGATGCTGGAGGATCTTCCGACGCTCTGTCAAGACCGTGAGAGCTGGAGGGACAGGGTGAGTCCCGAGTGTTCAACGCCTTATAGAATGAGATTGAGCAGCAGCTGTGTATATAACAATCGAATTATATTTTATTCAATTAGATATTCACCATTATTTACAATGAATATTTGACAAAGTTTTTAACGAACTCTTGAATCTGATTTCCATTAAAGAAATTTTTGCCCAGTTTAGGGTTTTGGGACCATCGAGAAAGGTAAGAATCGATTGGTGCAAGGTCAGGTGCATATGGCGAGTGGCGGGTAAGACAGAGGATTCGAGATCGAAATGTCTTCCTGTTATTTTTGCTGTAATCTGGAGTTAAAGTAAAACATTTTTCGTACCGACAAGACAAACGCGCTTTTCGGCCACACATTTTTACACACAGTTGCAGCTGTTGGACGTATAGTTGTGCATTTAGAATTTCATTGTTTCTTCCATGGACGCTTAGTGGTTGATTCTGAAGATTTATCTTTGGTATTGGAAATTCTCTCTTGTATTGAACATTGCCGTATGTTAATGCAATCCAAATTTATTTTGAACAGGAACATATGATTAGTAGTTAAACGATATACCTGTCATTACAAGTGATTCCCCAAAACTGAAATTACTTATAACACAACTTAATATATATGTAAATGTAAATTCTCACGTTATAACATGAGAACTTATATTATTCGATTTTTATATTTACACCGTTATGAATTGTATTTGGGAGAAAAGAAACTGAAGGAAATAAACTCATCAAATGTTACCACAGTTCAAAATATTAGACATGTTTTGTGATGCGAATCTTAATAATTAACACATAGCTGGGGGATAAGAGTTGGATTCATACCTTTCCCAAATGTATTTCCGCGTATGTGAATACAAGTAACCTAATGTGAATATAAGGAACTCCAATTAACAATCAATTTCGAGTCATTATGCATTACACTACCCGCACATCCAAACTTACAGCACGTGGTATTCCCATGTGGTCACCCATCTAGGTATTGACCAGGCTCGGCATCGCTTAACTTCAGTGATCGTACAGGAACGGTATGTGGCCGTAAGCTAATTAAATTTATGAAACAAGAACATTGTATTTGTCTTTTAATATTGGGCACTGTTTACAAATATTTACGAGCCAGTAACACTAGTAATTAACTTTAAAATGTGTTTTGCTTGACTATATATATATATATATATATATATATATATATATATATATATATATATATATATATATATATATATATATATATATATATATATATATATATATATATATATAACGTTTAAGTTTTTTTTCATTGTCAAGCTTTAACACAGGTTTTCTCATGCCAAATATTTGAAGAGAAATATTTATTCGTTCCACGCCGAAGGGAAGACCTTGAACGGAGGAGCGAAAGAATGAAAATAAAAGCAACATTAGCCGAGTCGCGCACCAAGCTATCTTTAAGCCCATACATTTAATGCAGCCAGCAGCTTGCTGACAACAACTTCAAGGATTTATACTTCGAATGTAAGCCTCGTATTTTTGGAACATTTCAAATCTTCCAAGACCCTTTTCTTCCTTGTGACATTGGCTTCTTTTTGTCTCAACTACTTCGAAATCTTTCCCTCATCTTGGCCGATAGTTTTAAACCCAGAAGGAATGAAAGAGAAAATTTCCTCAACAGGGAATTACAAAAATAGCAGTAGATAAAAGACAGAAAAGTCGTTATTAAGATCCCCCCCACCAAATTGTGGTGGATAACAATGGCATCGTCTACGCTTCATTCTTGGTGCGAGTAACAATAATATCTCGTAAAGTTTCCAGTTTTTCTTCAAACGCTTGAAAGAAAGTTTAGGGGAGGTTTAGCAAACTATTTCAAAATGAAGTGGTTCCCTACATATATTCCTAAATAGAAGTAAGAATATATATATATATATATATATATATATATATATATATATATATATATATAATATAGAAATATTTTTAAGGTGTGCTATATTTATGGGATAAAGTGGTCAATATCAGAGAGCGTATGTAAGTATAAAAATGAACATTGAAGTCAACACCCAGAGGCGACAGGCTGTTTCATGCTAGATGCAATCGTTTATATATATATATATATATATATATATATATATATTGATGCATGTTTCATTAAGTAATATAGACAAGTGTTGTTTATTTATTTTATGTAAATTCTTTTCATATCGTCTGTTAAGCTTAATAACATTATCATTAAACGAAGAAAGAAAATCAAAATATTGATACATGTTTTTTAGTCCTATCTAAGCTTTCGGCTTACATAAGCCGTTATCGAAGATGACGATTACATTACAATATATTAAGCAAAACACGGACAAAACAATGATGATAGTCTGTTTCTGTTTAAACATGAATACAATAAAAAAAAACTAAAAATTCTTGAAGCTATATACATAAAAAAGTTGAAAGCTAACCTGAACAACATAAACTATGAAATCTCCAGAAATGTCTATAATTGGTAACGGAAGCCATTGGTTTATACCAACGGCTTCCCTTACTTAATATTTCTCGTTTTCACTCTCGCGTGGTCATGTGTGACGTCATGAGCTACGGTACGATTTTCGCTTCCAGCGTCTTGTATGCACGAGTTTCTCGTTGCTGGGAAAACTTCCATGTAAACAGAAACAGACTATCATCATTGTTTTGTCCGTATTTTGCTTAGTATATTGTAATGTAATTGTCATCTTTGATAATCGCTTATGTAAGCCGAAAGCTACATAGTATTAAAAGAAAACATGCATCAATAAGATCACCATGACGCAACTCGCTCCGCCAGAAATTTGGAAACGGCATACTATACTGCTTGTCATTCGCGCCTGAAGCTCCAATGCGAATATTTCAGAGTGTTTGGGTGTCAGTCTGAGGACAATGCACATGCTTCATAAAGAGTTGTTTCGTTTAGTTTGATGGTAATTACGAAGGTACGGCAGCTACGAAAATGCACTCTGATCGTTCTGATAAGAAAAGAATTCCCAGAATTTGTTGGCAAGGAACACAGGCTCAACACGGAGGCCTGCATCAAGTACTTTGAGGAGGTAATGCTGCCCTAGATCAAGAGGGTGGCTGCTGGAAGACCTTACGTCTAGTAATTGGACAATGCACTATGCCACACAAGCAAGAGAAATCAGTCATGGCTGTTAGATAATTTCTCCCCAGACTGCAACCCCCTTGATTATTATGTGTCGGGTGCAGTTGAGGAAGACCAGCAAAACTCCTTGTAACTCCAAAGAGGTACTGAAGGCAAGGAATATGGTAACATTCATCAACTTAATCAAGGAGACCGTCCAGAAGAGTTGCAGGAGATTCCGAAGTCTTTTGATGTCCATGGTTGAAGCCAGTGGCGATCTTAGTGAATACATTTAGTCTTTAGTATTTCAAGATATTTTTACGTAATTTTAGTAAATATATCTGTTAAATTGAGATGTCAGTGTTATTTTGATTTTTGCGTAATTTAGATGACAGTTTATCCATCGCACCCAGTATTCATAAATCTTTCCCCTCCTCACTATCTTTCATCATCAGCAGCAAGTGCATATCAGTCGGTTATGTGCCATGCGTGATACACGCTAAGACGATTATGTATCTTTCGATACATGTCTGACAAAGCAGATTTTTTCCCGCAGTAGGTTGCTATTTCTTTCTGCAGTAGACCAGTTGACATCCAAAGCTATAGAACCCAGTCTGTCCTATTGTTAACCCATAGCTGGAGAAGAAGAAGATGATTCATACCTTTCCCAAGGGTATTAGCACGTAAGTAAATGTAATGGATTTAAATGGAATTCAAACTCGGCGTCCAAATTCCGAGCCTCTATCCATTACTCCACGGTGTATATATGAGAGTGTTTTAGTATAGAGGGAGAACGGATAGTCCACTTTATTGCCTGGAGATACCAGAGGTGGCGAGAGCGTGGTAGCAGCAAGGTTGGTTTGTCTGTAAAATTCTATAGAAACACCTGTGTGGTTGACCTATCTATGTGTATACGTCTCCTTGTTGTCTTCTCTGTAGAAAGTTTAATTATTTTCTTCGTAGATTAAATGTGTCCATGTGTTTTGTTGAATTCATTTTTTTCTTTTATCTTCGAAAAACGTTTGTGCGATTCCATTTTCCTTTTTAGTACATCTCAGTTCCACAGGTCTTTGACTATGTCGCACAAGTTATCCTGTGAGCTGGCACAACTTAGCTGCCAGTACAGAAAAGTTATTCTCTCAAAGACGTACGTCTTCCAGCAAGACAAATGTAGACACTTGATGAATGGCTTTATTCGTCTGCAGGTAAGAGCTTATATAGCTTCTGAGGATGGCAATGAATGGTCGAAAACTATGACAAGAAGCAAAATAATGGATAAAAAATAATTAACTCTGGACAGTTTCTGTGCTGTATTGAACCAACAATTCAAGACAAAACAAGAAAAACTACATAAAAAGTATATTTTTCTGATTTATTTTATTTATTAATACTTGTCTAAGTGTAAAATGATGGCCAAATATGTGTCAGGATGTGAGAGTCGAGTAACGGTTAGTGGCTCGGAATAAGAAATCGTCAAGTCGCATTCGAATTACATTCACTTTCGCATAAATACCCATAGGAAAGTCACTGTATCTTTATCTACATCCAATTATGGCTAAACTATTGGGAAACCAATCTATGAAAACAATTCAGTTCAAAACTTGAAGTCGGGTGTTTGGAGATTTTGTAGTTTTCTTATCAGTTCATCTGAAATATGTTCTTGGTTCTCTAGCTAAACCTTCACAACTACAATCAAATCATTTGCAGTTCGTCTGGTTGTTTAGTTCTAAAAACTGAACTATTATGCTCTCATAAGTGGTAATCGTCGGGAGCCCCTTCTCTCTCTCTCTCTCTCTCTCTCTCTCTCTCTCTCTCTATCTATCTATCTATATATATATATATATATATATATATATATATATATATATATATATGGTTTGAATGATTAGCTAAAAACAAGCATACAATATAATAACTTTTATAATCCATAGCCAAAATAAATAGTTTAAATACCCTACAAAAAGAAAACCCGTTATGAAGTCGTCAAAAAACAAAATTTACGGCAGTTTTTATATGCACAAATCCCTTTCATAAAGAAGTAAAATAAAAAAATAAATAAATCTCCATAGACACGTCAGCCAGACTAGGCTAAAACATCTTCCGTTTCAAATTTAGACACCCCCACCTTACCCTGACTTGACATCTATGAAAGTAACTCTATACTGATACTTATTATTAACACCCAACACACGCCTACCCAATTTTAACAATTCGCCCTAGCTGTTACCATGGAAATTTTGATTTCAATTATTAAAACACGTAAATTGCAGAAATACGTTATTCCCCAAAAAATTTCTCTTGAAGATGGAACAGAGCTTACTTTGACTCAATTTAATTCAAATAATCATATTGAAGTTTTCGGCTCTTGTTTTGAAACATGATACCTCTTATGTCGCGAGGTGGAATCATATTTTTAAATAAATAATATATATATATATATATATATATATATATATATATATATATATATATATATATATATATATATATATATTTCGTTGGATAGATGTGAGTTTGTGACCCTGGGTTTCACGCTTTAGCGATCGTCAGACAAACTGATTAATTTTTTTTAAATTTTGGGTTTATGTAGATTGCGTGTATTGGTGTTATTTAGGAAGTGGTGGGGGAAATGTCATCGTACTGACGCAAACATCGATGTATATTCATACGTCTACTTGAGCACGCAGACACATATACATACTTGGTCGTCCGTCTGGATTCATACATATATAAACATATGTGGGCAGTTTCGGATATGGCATATGTATGTATACGGGTGGTGTTGTGTCTATCCATACGCATTTGTATGTTGAAATTCAAAGATTGGGAGTGTAGCGAACATTTCGTGAATGTCTCGTGAAAGTATACATGTCATATTATCCATTTCCACTGAATAATATTTCCTCGCGTGTGTGTATATACGTGTGATGGGGTTTGTGTAAAATTATGA